ACTTGTCATCTTCAGCATCCGATATTTCCATATAGGCATCCCTCAAGAGGTCCCCGCGCTCCTCCTCTAGGGGCATGCATGATATGCACATCCGAACATACTGACTTGCTAGAGCACATGCCCTTAGATGTCGGTTTCTCCTTAGGCTCCACATGCGCAGATCCGGAGGGCTTCGTCTGGAGCCCAGCTGCACTCAACTGCGAGTCACTTGCTGCGATAGTCGATGATGGAGAGACGGGTTCAGCAAGTTGTTGCCGCAACTCCTGCAGCAGAGTCTTGTATCCTAATTTGCATCTAGAATCTAGAATGTAGAACCAGAAAACAGCCAAGACTAGATCAACTCTTCGGTGTTCCTGAAGCATCACCTCCAAGGATTGTGGGTCTTCAGGGAGCTCAAGTTTGACACGCGAGAGGCCAGCCATCATTGAGCTTCCACTCCAGGTTCTGCTCACCAATTTGGTTGGCTTGGCCCGGGGATGCATAGGCTCTGACGAGAGGCAGCTAGCCCTGAAACAAAAGACCCAAAACCTCCATAGTTACGGTATCAGAACCTAAGACCTTGGGTATGGGAAATAGGATGGTGCAGCTTTCTATTTCTACGCATTTTTTTGGTTATTCTACGCTTTTTTTTGGTTTTTCTACGCTTTTTTACGGTCGTGGTTTTGGGTGGGTTTTTAAGAATTACGGTCGTGATGTGGGTTTACGGGCGCCACTAAATAATTTACGCCCGCAGTCCTGAAGTTTACGGCCGCACGGGCTTGAATTACGGGCGTTAGCCTGAGATTTACGGCCGCACAGCCCCAACCTGGCACCAAACCTGTGAAAATACAAGCCAAAAGCTCACTAATATTATGATTTTCAGCACAAAAGCCACCCAAACACTTGAGAAACACCTGGCAAAAGCTCCGAAACCTAGCTAGGCCTATAACTTTCTAGCCAAACAGATCCTGCTTTGCTTGAAGTTTGTGTGCCTGCCGAACGGAGAACAAACTTCATCCCTCCTCTAGCTC